GCTATCAAGGAGCGACGTTGTTTTTCATTGGGACCTTCGTCCCTTCAAGGCTAGGCCTATACCATCCTAGTTAGTCTAGGCCTAGAGTAGGATAAGGCTAGCCTAGACTACTCCTAGCGCTGTCGAGACTAGTCTGAGTTTACACCTTACCTCTTCCACATGCAATGTTGTGGTCCAGAAATCAAATTAGCAAAAATATTTAAAAACATATAAGTGTAACATATTTAAAATACATAAAAGTCTATTTAGATGAGTCAACAATTTGTGATACATTTTCAAAAATGGAGTACAGTACTAATCAAACTTTATTACTGTATACATTGTAGACTATTATTACAGTAAGGGGTGTATAAAGTTGGAAATGTCACATCTATTTTTTTTAAATCTACCCCCTCCCCATAAAAAACATTTTGAACAGTAAATGTCCTGTGGTGTTTATTAAAATAAAATTATGGTACAGTACAAATTATAGTTTTCTGATTGTAATATAGATGCCAAATTTAATATAAAAACAAAGGTACACGGATGATGAAATAATAAAAAAGTTAAAGATTCTGACTGTTTTAGTACAAAATTTTTTGTTGACTTAAAAAATAGGATTACAATTTGAACATGCAATTTAACTTTTGTCTTGAATATTTAATATTTCACATATTGTCTGTTTTATCGAGGTCCTTAATGATCAATTCCTGCAGGAACTGGATAGGTCACCCTCTTTAAAAATGGTAATAAATCAATAATTATAACAATAATAATAATAATGAGAATGATGATAATAATATAGGTGGGCATTTAATTGTGGATGTGAATAATATAAAAACAATAAACAGATTAACATTGCAACTCTGTCCATTTTTATTTCTTCCATTTCAAACAAATGACTATATTCCAGGATGGTTTTTTTTTGTATATTAAATGAAGTAGTGTAATCACTAAAATCGAAAAATTGTTTAGCGAATTTGGCCCTCAGATGGCATGCGTTTGGCTGTCGTGAAGACTGCCAACTATCTGCCAACCCTGTATAGGCCTAGAAATCGGCGTTCTGCTGAGTGCCCGCTGACAGACGATTGTTTCGGGGTTAGCTAGACCTCGTCAGGGTGGGCCAGGGTCATGTGACAATAAAATAACTGATGTAAGGAAATGGTTTGATTTTTGTATTGACCTATAAGGTATGGTCATATTATATACATTATTATTTATGCTAAAATATTGTTTTTAACGCTTTTATGGTGTTTTAATCGTGCCTCGTACATTCTATCGTCTACGGTGGTCATGCCTCGCAGTCGCGACATGCGGACGTTGGTACGTGTAGGTTAGTCTACAAACGTCGCCTAAAGTAATTGATTTTACCCGGCAGAACGAAAGGAGGAAACTCCGCTTTTCAGTTGTCTTAGGCCCTTGTTTTTTGACAAACAATGACCCTTTAGAGGTCAAATTGCTGTCAAGAATATGAATTGGCTGCTTCGCAGCAATAAAATCAAGATAGGTGGTTAGTTAAATACTCTTCTTATATATAATGTAATGTTAGGTAGAAAAAAATAGAGGGCACACTTAGGCCCTCACTCAAGATCATATTGAATAATTTTAGAATTGGATTGAGAAATACTGTATACTGTATATTCAAAATAAGCCTCTGAGGCATTTTATTGCTGAGAAGAGTTTTTTAGGGCATTTATTTGAGGGAGGCATTTTTTTTAAATTTTTTTTTTTTTTGGTGTACAATGGATATGTAGGCCTATATACTTAATTTCACTGAAAATGTTGAACTACAACACTATACGTGATTACAGTCAAAATGTGTTTTGGGTGACCACAACAATTTATTGATCCCAACCAGGTTAGAAAAAATGTAATTCTACTGGAGTAGAACATTAATAGAATGTGTAGAGGATGATGTTGCATCCACTAGATTTATTTACATTCATTTGGGGGTGGCGTTTATTCGAGGAAAAGAAACGCCTTGGGGGAATTTATTTGAGGGAGGCATTGATTCCAAATGAGGCTCTAGAGTATTTAAAGCGGGGCGTTTATTCGAATAAGTAAGGTATATTTATCTAATTTTGTGAGGAATTCTAGTGGTCATTGTGCCAGGCTAGTTATCTAGAGGTCGTGGGTTCAATTCCCACCCGAATCACTTATTTTGGAACGTACTGAGTATTCAGTACGATAATATGTCAGGTAGGGCAAAACATCATCACTCCTAAGAAATAAAGATTTTTATTACAAAATTTTACTATGGCGGAGAGAGGGCATGATGTCAATAATAATTTCAATTTTTCAGTAGATCGTATGTGCACAATTATCAGTGGTAGCAGGTTTGGGCAGTGGCATATCTAGGAGTCTTAAAATTGTGGGGGGTGGAGCTAATAGGGCCCAAAGATAAAGGGAGGGGGCTCGATAATTAGGTGAGGGGGTACTAGCAAAATTAGGCGATTAGAGGTGATTGTTAATTATTGAGCACGATTTTTTGGAGAGCTTTAAAGTTTACAGGAGTTTTTGTCCATTATATGAAGTTGGAAATGCATAATGGAGCATGAAGTATTTATTATTTTGAATTTCATTTGTGTTAAGATAATAAGGATTGTTTCTCACCAGTAGCTTTCAATTCGCATTCTCGGACCTTCTTCAGCTGAATAACATCGGCAAGTAGCCAATGTCTATGTCACCAATGATGCAATGGCAATAGGTGCACAGAAAGTCCATCCGGGCCCTCTCCTCTTGAACCTAAGGGTTGGTGTAGGAGGTCGATGTGGACGTGGGACAAATCATACCCTCCTTCATCTCGACAGCTTTGAAGGCAAGTGACTAACCTAAGTAGACAATGACAATGGTGAAGAAACATAAACAGAGAAAACAACAACAGAAAAACACAGAGTGGGAAAATGCAGTACAAAAAACAAGACAAGAGGAAATATAGGTTTCCCTTACGTTCAAGGGATGTCAGAAAGAATCAGACATGTCCTCAAGAAACACCAAGTAGGTTGTTACTACAAACCACTCAACAAGCTTAGAGAAATCTTGTGCACCCAAAAGACAAAATTAATAAAGAAGACGTGTGTGGAGCTATTTACCAGGTTGGATGTAGCAACTGTGATGCTAAATATATAGGGGAGACAGGCAGAACTTTTAGGGTCAGATTAGAAGAACACAAAACAGATGTCCGTACCAACACCTCAGGTGGAGTATGCACTAGAGCCCCACCTGCCTCAACCTTTGATATTATACACAAATCAGCCATCACAGACCATATGGTCTGGTTAAATCACACCCCAGACTGGATAAATACCAAGTTATTGGACAAAGAAATTGAAAAACATCAAAGGGAAGATTTGAGAAGCTATATGGATAAGACACAATAACAACACCATTAATAGGGATGAAGGAGGGTACGAATTGTCCCACGTCTACAACGACCTCCTACACCAACCCTCAGGTCCAAGAGGAGGGGGCCCGGATGGACGTTCTGCTGCGCAACATTGCAGAGCGCACCCGCATTACATCATCGGTGACGTAGACATTGGCTACTTGCCAGTGTCATTTAACTGAAGAAGGTCTGAGAATGCGGATTGAAAGCTACTGGTGAGAAACAATCCTTATTAGCTTAATGCAAATGAAATTCAAAATAATTACTACAATTGAAGCTAAATGAAGTTATTTGATCATGAAGTATTTAGTTGGGTATGGGGGAAATATGATGTGAATGGTGGGACAGTCATTTAAGAAAAGAAATGGGAAAGCCATGTTGTTGCTTGTTATAGGACGTAACAAGCAACCACATTGTGGATTTATGCCTTGAAGATTGGTTATAGAGGCAAATAGCTGAAACATGCCTAGTAAATCGAAACTGTGTGTAAGCAGTGTATCACATGATCCACTAAAAGAATTCCATTGTCGAAATACACTGATGTGATGTCACAAGGCAAATTTACCAAGATGGCGACATTTTGTGAAAATTGCATTTATTAGTTTCAAATCGTTTGCAATATTTATTTAATAGACCTAACAGTAAATTGTATAATACATACTTCAAGTATCAATATGCACGCCATCGTGTAGGGATTCAATATTTCAACATTAATTACTGTATGTCATCATCAGGATTACATCATTCCTGATGATCATATAATTAATGTCAAAATATTGAATCCCTATATGATGGCGTTCATTTCGATACTTGGAGTATGTATTATACTATCTTAACTGAGATTAATCAGTGGACCTTTCGGTTTTTAGAAAAAGACCTAACAGTCTAACAAAAAAAGTAGAAGAATAGAACTATGCGATTTGTCCCTTAAGGTACAGTATAGTGCCATTACTCTACTTGGTTAAGGGAAGCTGGCCTTGATCTTAATACACTGCTGGCTGTTTCACATATTCTTTAAAAGAACTTAAATTAAAATTTGGTAATTTTATCTTTAAAATGATTGTTAATATCAATCAAGCAATACTAATAATATCAATCAAGCAATACTAAAACGTCCAGACACCATAGGTACAAGCATGTTGAAATCTTTAAAAAAAATCATCATCCAATGAAAAGACACAATGAATAATCAATAACTTCCCTATTTTATAGATTCATTTCAAACTAGAAAATGGACTGATTCAGTATTAGTCATGACAAAGTTGCCACGTACAAATATTGAATGTTTAACTTGCCAGACATAAACACAGTACCACGCTGACCTGTGAACAATTACTCCTTCCGTTTAATTGAGGAATTACATACATTTTCTCTCAATACATTCTCTCAAAAACCTTGAAATAGTCTACACTTCAAAGATTAAGCCAATGAAAAAGCTGATTAAATTAATTGTTCTTTTATTGTCTGCCAGAGTTACAAGTGCACTGAACTACTGTACCTCTTGAGTACTGAGGAACCAGATCCGGAAGGTCTCCTTTTCCTGCCACTATATGAGACATAAATTGCCGAAGGTTGAAAGTATACGTTGCTTTATATCAACTCGATTTTTAACCTTTACCTAATGACCAACCTTTAATTAGGCCAGAGACATCAGTCTATATTCTATGTCAAATTCATATTTCTGGAAATGAGGCAATTTAAAAGCAGTTTACACTCTAGGATGTGGGAAAAAAGCTGTCCAACCATATCGTAAGTCCTCGGTCCAACAGGGAGTTTTTTACAACTTTCAGTGGAGCCAGGGGTGGTGCCCTAGTTTGGTTCCATGGGACAATTTGTGGCCTATTTTTGGCTGTCCTAAGTTCTACGCTTTTGGTTAAATTTTTTTGGTCGGACGTGTCATGGCCGACGGAATCCTAACTTGAGTTCCCTGTCATGCAACTGACCAAGTCTAGTTGAAGCAGTTATCTGATTATAGTTCAACCTTGCTTAATTCCATGTGTATATATTTTTATATTGTATATTTATTATTATATCAGTTAAATGTTGTTTTGCTTTTTATAGTGTTGTTTTTTATTTTTACTGCTTGCTATTTTTGTATCAACTCAAGGAAACAAATCCCCTATATATGCATTATGTATGGCAATAATAAATGAATCTTGATTATACTGTATTGTTAATTTAATATATGTATTGCATTTTTATGTCATATAAGTTTATTTGTTGAACATTGCTCTCTATATAAACCTCAATACACACATTTTAATATACCATAATAATGATGTGAAGAAGGATTTATTAAAATGAACTTTCTTAACACATTTAATTAGATATTGCTGGTGCATGGTGATAATTGAGTAAAAACATGCAAATATTATGTATTTTCGGGAGATGGATTTTTTCTTGCTTGCTTGCAGGAGTGCAGGAGGCCATCTTCATTTTTAGGAGACTATGAGACTACTGCGATTACGGGGACCTGGAACCCGTCATTTACAGTGGCAGACCGTCAAGGGATGCAAGGTATGTTCTGCATACCCAAGCTAAAACCCTTAAGAAAGTAATTTACAGTATTGTGTGTTTTATTTTCATTTAGCATTTCTTAGCCAAAATCCTCTATACCAACCTTCATTTTTTGAATTGATTGCTACATTTCAATGGAATGCTTAAGGAAATACAAGAGCGACCACTCACCGGTCTGCACGTTCCTCCACGCTTAAATACAGTACCGGCGCAAGTTATATCATTTTTTTTGGAAGAGCTAACAAGATAGAAATTTTTAAATAATTAGAATGTTCATTTGTACAAAAACATATATATTATTTAGAATGTACAAAATTAAAACATCTTAAGAAAGAAAAAAAAAATTCTTAAAAATGAAAAAAAAAAAAAATTGAATGCCAAGACGCGATTCAAACTCACATCCTTAAGTTCTTTAGAACACATCCTTAACCGACCGCGCTATCCATGTGACGTGCTCTATTAGTGGTAATGAGAGCAGCTTAGCTCAGTCGGCTAATCTGGTGGTAGCCACTGTGTGTGCGCTGAACCGTGAAGATCTCTAGGTCCCGGTTCAATTCTCATCGCTGCCTCTCCTTGTGTTTCAGCTGGAGGGCTGAAATACAAGTTACAATAGCGCACCGTTTAGATGAGACGTTTAAGCCACTGGTCCCGTGTGCATTATGGCCCATGTTCACATTAAAGGACGCAGTACACTCTTCGGAAAAGAGTAGAGGATTGTCTCCCGGTGTACTGTCCAATCACCACCATAAGGAACCCACTGGAAATAAGTCTTCTTCTAGACTTTCGTGGGCTATCCTTGGTGTTTACACTGAATAAATCCAATCCAATCCAATGGCAGTAATGTACAGTCCTTGCTAAAACCCCTGTTTTGTTTTGTAGGTATAGAGGGAACCTGGGGTCCAACTAAATGCTTTCAAAGTTTTGGTAACAAGAACAAGAACAAGTACAAGAACAGCAGTGAGGCTCTGGGGTCAGCACCTTGCGCAGTTATTAGTTTTTCAGTCTGTAGGCATTTTGGTATCTACATTAGGATAGGCCTATCTTGTTGTACTCTAAGCTGCTTAGAATTTCCACATTGTTTTGCTATTCTTCCAACAGATACATATTAAACATTTTAAGACTAATGCACTAGTCAATTAACTATTTATATTTAGAAACATATTGGTTTTCTTTAAATGCCAAACATAGGTTTTTAAATCATTATCAAAGATACTGATTGTAAGAAAGTATAATACATACTCCAAGTATTGAAATACACGCCATCGTGTTGGGATTCAATATTTCGACATTAATTATGTCATCATCAGGAATGAAAAAATTATCCATATTGGCAAACTTATATGCACTAGTACCAAAAGTGTTTAACCAATCAAAACATTACCTCTAGTAGGTGACATAGCAGTGATTTAAACAAAAGATCAAAGCATTCTTACTCTAATGATCAAAGATACCTACAAAAACAATTTTATAAACAAACTGATGGTGTCTCAATGGGTT